GAAGAAGGAAAGACAAGGTATACCAAAATAAAGAAAGGTAAAAGCCCAGAGGCAAAAGACAGACAGGATAATGTAAGTTAAGAAAAACTAGCTAAATAGTGGAGAGGGTGCCTTAACTGGCCATTTCCTGTAATTAGATTGGTAAACTCCCTACACTGTCATCAGAGATACTCTATCCAGTTACTGATGGAAGCAGATGCAGAGATCTACAGTCAAGCATTGGATTGAGCTCAGGGAATCTTGCTGAAGGGAGGAGTGATTGTATGAACCAGGGGTGTCATGACAGGGGAACCCACAGAAACAGTGGACCTGAGTTCATGGGAGCTCATGGACTCTGGATCAACAGTTAGGAAGCTTGCATGGGACTGATGTAAGCTCTCTGCATGTGTGTGACAGTTGTGTAGTTTGGTCTGTTTGTAAAGCTCTTAGGAGTGAGACCAGGACTTGTCCCTAGCACTTAGCTGGCTTTTGGGAACCCTTTTTCCATGCTGGATTGTCTGGCCCCACCATGACATAAGGGGAGTGTTATTCTTAAAAATGATCCCCGGGCGGGTTGGTGGAGCCCGCCATGAGAAAGCAGCTACAGGAGGGCACAGGCCGCGCCCACGGTGGCGGCAGGTAACAGACACATAAACACAGGAAATAGCCATAAGTATTTATTAAGGAAGAGGGAGAAAGAAAGACAGAGAAAAGAGATAAAAGAAGAGAAAAGAGATAAAAGAAGAGAGAGACAGAGAAAACACGTGATCACGCCAAGGAAGCAGAAAGAGGAAGGGTCCCAAGATGGCGATGGGCAGGTCAGAGGTTATGGGAGTGGGCATGGCTAGGGCAGGGACCAAAAGTTGAGGAGGATCTTGGTCCTGCCTCAACTTGACATTCCATGCTTTGTTCAAGCCCATGGGAGGCCTGCCCCATTCTGAATGAAGACAGGGGAGGCTTGGAAGGGGAGGAGGTAGATAGGAAGTGGGAGACACTGGGAAGAATGGAGGGAGGGGAAACTGGTTGGTATATAAAATAAATAAAAAAGCTATTTAAATGAAATAATAAAAAAGAAGAGCTGGATAGAAACAAGCCAAGATAAGACTGGGTATTCATTCAAAAAAAGAATAAACCTCCTTGCAATGTATTTGGAAGCTGGGTGGTGAGCCCCCAAAAAGCCAAAGAATAAGAAAGCAACCAATGATGTTAGCCACTTGGATTTCTTCTTCTGAGAACTCTGTTTATTCTATAACCTGCTTTTAAATAATTTTTTGTATTGTCGGTCATTTGTAGGTTCTTGGTTACGCAGTTTGATAATTAGGGGAATTTACTGAGAGCATCCACATACTATAGAAGCATTAGTCCCCAGCATTTTCACTGGCATCCCCTCCCATCTAGGTTGTTAGATTTAGTGTTCCATCAAGAAGAGTCTAACTGTTCTGTAGATTATGAATTTGTTCTCAATGATTTCTGGCTGCAACTCACCGTTTTCTCTGAAGCATTGGCCATAAGTCTCCTACATCACATTTGGGGATACCAGAGAACAGCATTGCCTCTAGCCCTTTAAATTCTGTCTTTGAGAATTTAAAGCCAGAATAGTAAGTGCATAGAGCAACAGTTTCCCAGCCTAGAGCTGTGGGTAGAAGGATGCCAGGGACAGGTCTTGTGCAAGAACATCCTCTTCCTCTTTTGCATTGGCTATCATCATCCTGGCCTTTAGCCTGCTCTGTCCCATGGGTGTGTCCCACAGTGTGAACTATGTCACCAGTTCTGTGTTCTGTTTCTGTGGAGATCGGGCATGAGACACTGCCATGGTCCTTGGAGCTGCTCTTCTTGGACTTGGTAAGGGTGACAAGGGTCATTCTTTTTAGCCAAAGTGGTAATGGGTACAGAATCTCAGATTTATAACCTTGGCTCCTCTTATAGAACTTTTTCTATGAAGACTTGGCCTGGTGGCTGCAGAGGAGTCTTCCCTGGCCTCAACCTGTCCATTGGCCTTGGAATTTTGAGCTGAGCTCTGGGGTTGGGATCATTGTATACCAGGACAGACTTGTCTTATAAGGTCTTTTGCTCTATTTGCAGTGTTTTTAATGGTTCAGAAGATCTGGGCACAGCATGGTGAGTCTGTTCTCTATTTTAGCCATGGGAAACTGAGTTTGGCTCAGAGTAGCATGGGAGGAGCTTGAAGCATCTTTTGCAGATCCAGAAGAGGGATTTTCATTGGCAGCCACTGTTGGAGCCCACAAGACTCTACAGTGAATGCACAGCTGACAGACAAATAGGCAGATCCACAGGAAGTGTATATGTACACGTCCACATGGAATAACCCATTTTGCAGAGCTGTGGGAACACTTGTCTTTTGGAAAAGTTGCTGGCATATCTGTGCAAACCCTGTAAACCCATGATTCTTCCCTTCAAAATGGGATTCATTCCTAGAACACATCGGCAGTGTAACCTCTGCAGGGGCAGTGGAATGACCTTGCTCCATTCCCCCACACCGGAGGCCTTGGAGGGGTGGCATTCACTCTTTGTTCTAGGAATCAAATTTATATCCCATGAAGTTACCTACTAACAAACCATGTACAAATTTCCATAGAAGACAGGCACTGAGCAAGAAGGCAGCATGCCCCACCTTTGCTAACCAACAAATCTGGGTGTCTCCAAAGCTAGTTATCACACAAGAGATTAGACAAGGATAATGGGTGAAGCCAGGATTCATGGTTGTTTAGTAACTTTATCTAATGGTTTGGGATGTCAGGTACTTCCTCTTGAGTGCTGGCTTTTTCCTGGGTGGTGTTACCTGTTTCGGAGTACTGCTTTGTCAGTTTCTACCTGCCCTTTTTAATGATTTTGATATGCATATTATCATTGTCCTTGCCTATAGAATTTTTCAACTATGTCTGTAAAAACTAGAAACCTAGTAGAGAACAGCTTTTATTCTTCTCTTTCTTCTTTTTTCTTCACTACTTCTTCCCCTTACTCTGCTTCTCCTCCTCCTCTATCTCCTCCTCCTCCTTTATCTCCTTCTTCTTTTCCTTCTTCTCCATGCCCTTTCACTTTACTTTCTCCCCTTGCATGACAAATAATGAACACGCAGAGGTAATGTAGTTGAGTTAATTTTTTACCCTCAGATCCTTGTCTGCATTAGACATCAGTCTGAGCCCTGAGGGGGTACTGAGGCTGGTTCTCAAGGCCTCTGATAGGCCACAGGCACAGTTACTTAATGATCAATCCTTACTATTGGAGCCATCTTTGGGTTGGGGATTCTCAACTGTGCTCCAGTAAAGCCTGAAAGATGTGTGTCTTGGAAGGATATTGGAACAAATGGCACAGAGGAAGGGACATCTGCACACACGTGTTTCCTCCTGAAGGTGCAGACATTTGATTTTGAATTTTTTCTTTTCCGCCTCTCTCCGAGGTTGTGTCTGACTTTCATACTGAGTTTTGCCCTTGGGAAGATGCCTCATCCACAAGACAGAGCTGAAGTGAATGCTGTCTAATATGTGTATGGCACAGATGGAGTTCTGATGTGGGATTCTCCTCTGTATGTTGTGAATATGTTTTATTGCCATTGGTTAATTGAGAAGCTGCTTTGGCCTATGACAGGGTGTTGGGAAAGCTTGGTTAACCAATTATCTTTAAGATTTGAGACCTACTTAGGTTATGGCTTGCTGGGACCATGAGTAAAAACGGTACAGGCCCAGGTGCGCTCTCTATGTGGTTCCCTTGTGGTACAGCTTAGCTTGGACTTCTTGTTCTTGTTTTTGTGAGTTTCCCCCTTAAAATGAATGAAAATATAATTGTTTTATCTTCTAGCTACCCTGGTTATTTCTCAATACAGCAGGGTGGAATATATAAAGTTGGAAAATCCAAGCAGAGATAGAGAAGGAAAGAAGATGGAATCAGGCAGATACAATGTAGCTACTGAAGGAGAAAATGCTGGTACCTTACCTGTAAGCCACAGCCTCATGGTGATATATAGGTCAATATAAATGGGTTAATTTAAGACATAAGCACTAGCTAGTAATATGGCTGAACCATTGGCCAAACAATATTGTAATTAATATAGTTTCTGTGTGATTATTTGGTCTGGGCAGCCAGAAAATGAAAATGCAGTCTCAGTTTACAAATGGCACCCAAACTTTTGGCAAGAATATCAAAACAGAGCCTAAGAAAACTTGAATAATAAAAAAAGGCTTCTAGACACAAAAGTGGGAGTCAATTGGAGCTTGTTGGCAACTGTATGTTTTTAGATAGGCTGTTGGTGGCGAGCAGAGGTATGGCACCTTTAAGAGAAGGCTTCTTGACTCAACATTAGCAGGAAAAGCTGCATGGTTCCTTTAAGAAAGAGCTTTCTGGTTCATGCTGGTGGCACAGATAGCTCTGCCTCTTTCAGAAGGTCCTATTATGGAGCACTTGAATGGGGTTTGTGAGTCAACTACTTCTGAGAGTTGGGGTGGTAAACATGGATCCAAGAATTCATGTATTTTCAGAGGCTCCCAGGCTTCATGTGATATTGGAGTTCGGTGTAGAGGCTGGGTTTTCCATGGAGGCAAGAAACAAAGTAAGACACAGGTCAGTGATTTAATGGGATTTTACATTACCCAGGAAAGTGGGAAGGTTTGGTGATTAGAATGACAACCCACAGGGTTCATTACTGAGCTTGAAGAAGACAAGGAGAAAAGCCCCTGATAGCACTAAGTTATAAGAGCTACTCTTCCATTGTTTGGGAACAGAAAAGATAATTAGGCCTTCTGAAATATACAAGATACTCAATTCTGAAAATAATGAGACTTCACTTTGGAGGTGTGCTGGTTAGTTTTCTTTCAACATGACGTAAGCTAGAGACATCTGGAAAGAAGGAACATCAACTGAGGAACTGCTTATACTGTACTGGTGTGTGAGCATGTCTGTGGGGCATTTTCTTGATTAGTAGTTCTTGTGGGAGCCACTCTATAGCTCCTTGGGAAGCTGGATTTCCTGACATCAGTTGACTGGTGCTTTTTCCTGCGTCTCTCCAGGGCCACCACCTCAGCCTTCCATCTGGGCAGTTCCAGGAGCTGTGGTTTCCAAAGGTAGTGATGTGACCATCTTCTGCAGGACCCTTCCAGGAGTGACCACTGTGCGTCTAGCCCGTCTTGCACCCAGTACTGTGTGGTATGATGGTACCCCACAGGGAGCCCCGGAGGTGTTTGAATTCAGTCTGAAGAATATAACACAGAGTAATGCTGGGGTTTACTTCTGTGCATACTTTAATGGAAGTCAATGGTCACGAAATAGTAAAAATCTGGAGCTGGTGATGACAGGTGAGTAACTGCCCAAGGACACATCTTCAGACTTAGTCCTGGAAGCCTACCTCACTGAACCATGTATGCTCAATCATGAGCCCTGCCTTGTCTATATCTCTGCTCCATATAATGATCTCTTCCTTCCCTTTCCTTCCCTTCCCTTCCCTTCCCTTCCCTTCCCTTCCCTTCCTTTTCCCTCTCTTCTCCTCGCTGTTTCTCTCCTCCTTTCCTCCTCTCCTCTCCTTTCCTCTTCTCTCTTTTCTCCTCTCCTCTTTTCATCCTTTCCTTTTCAATTTCCATTTTTCCTAATAATTTTTTTTAAAACAGATTCTTACATACTGGCCTTACTTGCTGTGAGTCCAAACATCATCTTGATCTTCTGGTCCCTTTGCCGCTACTCTCCTAGTACTGTCATTAGAGACATTGACAATGACACCATTCATGTGGTGATGGTCACAGAACACCAGGCACTGTGTATATATTAGGCAAGAACTCAACCAATCAAGATTCGACCCTAGACCCTCTGTTTTGGTTTGTGACCCTCCCTCTTTGCTGACCATGTTCTAGGCTTCCGTCAGAATGGTGACTATAGCCCCTAAAGGATGGAGTTCAGGGGAACTGACAGCAGCCTTTTGCACATACATAGAGCCTCTCTATGGTCCTGGTTTATGGAAAATAATCCAAACACATTTTGTGATCCTTGTTGATTAACATTGGACGAGTTCCGTTTTGTCTTCATCTTTTCTTCTCTCTGGTCAGACTCTGAACTGTAGGCTTATATTTCATCATGTTTAAAACAACAGCATTGTACTGGCTAGTTTTGTATCAACTTTACAGAAGCTAAAGTCATCAGAGAGGAAGGAGACTCACTGAGGTAATGCCTCCATAAGAACAAGTTCTATGGCATTTTCTCAAGTAGTAATCAACAGGGGAGAGCCCAGCCCGTCATGGGTTGTGCCATCCCTGGGCTGGTAGCCCTGAGTTTTGTAAGAAAGCAGGCTGAGCAAGACATGGAAACAAGTCAGTAAGAAGCACCCCTTCATGACCTCTGTATCAACTCCTGCCCCTAGCCTCCTGCCCTGTTTGAGTTCCTCTCATCACTTCCTTCAGTGATGAACAGCAATGCTGGAGTGTAAGCCAAATAAAACCTTCCCTCCCCAACTTACTTTCTGGTCATGTTGTTTCATAGCAGCAATAGAAGCCGTAACTAAGACAAGAGTCTTTTTTATAAATTTTTTGACATAGGGTCTCATCATGTAATTCTGACTCTCCTTGAAACCTCAATATTGAGCAGATTGTTTTTATTTATTTATTTATAGAGCCTGGTCCCTCATTCTTTTTTTAAAATTATTTTTATTATTTAACAGTTTTTTTGTTTCTTTTAAATACCAACCACAGTTTTCCCTCCCTCCTCTCATCCTTTTCCCTCCACAGGCTCCCCTTTATGCACCCCTCAATCCACTCCCCCATCTCTATTCAGAAAGGGACAGGCCTCCCATGTTCTTGAACAAAGTATGCATGGCACATCAAGTTGAGGTAGGACCAAGCTCCTCCCTCTGCATTAAGGCTGGACTAGGTAATCCAGCATGGAACAGGTTTCAAAAGCCAGCTAAGTGCTAGGAACAGGTCCTGATCTCACTGCTAAGAGCCTTGCAAATGGATCAAACCACACACATGAAGAGGGCCTAGGTCAGTCCTACTCAGGCTCCAGAGTCCATGAGCTCCCATGAGCTCAGTTCAACTGTCTCTATAGGTTCCTCCATTAGGACCCTGACCCCATGGTTCACACAATCACTCCTCCCTTTCTTCAGGAGGACTCCCAGAGCTCAGTTCAGAGCTTGGCTGTGGATCTCTGCTTGTGCCTCCATCTGTTACTGGGTGAAGGCTCTCTGATGACAATTAGGGTAGTCACCAATCTGATTACAGTAGATGGCCAGTTCAGGCACCCTTTCCACTATTACTAGGAGCCTTAGCTGGGGACAAGCAGGTTGTTTTTAAACTCAGAAAGATCTACCTGCCTCTGCCTCCTGAGTGCTAGGATTAAACGACCATGTCACAAAGACCAGCTAATAGAATCTTTCCATTTCCAGGTGTTTACAGTGAGAAGCCATTCCTTACTGCTGATTCAGGACCTCAGGAAATCTCAGAAAGAAATATGACTCTCCTCTGTCACACACATCTTTCCTTTGACATCTTCATCCTCTGCAGAGGTGGAAGTGCCTCCTTTCCCCAGAGCTGCTCACGTCAGGACCACAGCACATTCCTCATCTCCCCTATGAGCCCTGGGAACAAAAGGACCTACAGATGCTTTGGCTCTCACAAACAAACTTCCTACTTGTGGTCACTGCCTAGTAATCCACTTGAGTTTTCAATTCCACGTAAGTATGTCTGGTTCTTGTTTCTTATCTCTGTTCTTAGACTGGAGGTCTCAAAGGATCCCATGTGGGATGTATCAATTCCACTTTATGTCCCCTGTGTGCCACATGCTGCACTCTGCACTGCTCTTCTGACTGAAATTGCTCTATTTGTGTTATGGGCTCTGAGCATTATGTGTTGATTATATTATTTTGGGGACATATTCATCTGGGGAATAGACGTCCTCATCTGTTCAAAATGAGAATCATCTCTCAGAATGTTTTTTTTTTTTTGATTTTCGAGACAGGGTTTCTCTGTAGGTTTTGGTTCCTGTCCTGGAACTAGCTCTTCTAGACCAGGCTGGCCTCGAACTCACAGAGATTCGCCTGCCTCTGCATCCCGAGTGCTGGGATTAAAGGCGTGCATCACCACCGCCCGGCCTGATGGTAGTTTTTTAGATCTCAAGAGATCATGATTTTTTTATTTTGCTTTTTTGATTATAATACATGATTTTCTCCCCTCCTTTCCTTCTCCCTAAACCCTCCCATGTACCTCTCCTTGTTCTTTTTCAAATCCATGGCTTATTTTTACTTTAATTATATATACATCAGTGTATATGCATGTACATGAACATATTTTTGGCATAACCTGCTTAGTTTGTATAATGTTATTATATATGTGTTTCTAGAGCTGAATTTGATATAGAAAAACCATATTTGTGTTCTCTTCCCTGGGGAAGTCTATTTCTTCACTCTCAGCATTCCAGGTTCTTTATAGTCATTTATGTAGAGTCGAGGCCTCATGGGCTTTCTCCCACCCACTATGGCATGTCTATCTTGTTGTCCTTGTCCAGCTCATGTTTAGGTGGCCATGTTGGTGAAACTTTATGTATATTGCTTATGACATTAGTAGGAGACACAATCTCACAACAAAATCCCTGATTCATTCGCTCCTACAATCTTTCCTCCCCCTCTTTCACAATGCATGAGTTGTTTTGTAGATGCATCTATTGTGACTGAGCTCCACAACTCTGCCTTTTGGTTTGTTGTATTTGCTATGGTATATGTAATGTAATTTTTTTGGTTTTCATCTCTTGCATAAGGAAGTTACTTTGATGAGGAACTGGTGTGGGAAATTCTTCTGTATATGTGTTGCTTTTATTGGTTAATGAATAAAGAAGCTGCCTTGGACTATGATAGGGCAGAGTAAAACTAGGCAGTGGGAGAGGGGAACTAAACTGAATGCTGAGATAAAGGAAGGTGGAGTTGCAAAAATCCATGTAGCCTCCACCGGGGTCAAACAGCTATGCTGGAGCCCACTGAAACTTTGTCAGTTGGCCACGACCTCATGGCAATACACAGATTAATAGAAATGGGTTAATTTAAGATATAAGAGTAAGCCAGAAATATGCTTACGCTATTGGCTGAACAGTATTGCAAATTATATAGTTTCTGTGTGACTATTTCATGGTCTGGGCAGCTGGGAACAAACAAGCGTCCTCCCTCTACAAGGAGCGAGTACTACACTTACTGTTCCACCACCATTTGTCACCATGTTGCCACCTCTGAACAGTCTTCAGTCCAGTGGAGAATGGAGGAGACAGTTTTTGAGTGTTAACTTTGTTTTTTCTTTTTTAAAATTAATTTTTAAAAAATCATGGGATAAAACTGGACTCGCTGAACATAGTGGACAATGAGGACTACTGAGAACTCAAGAACAATGGCAATGGGTTTTTGATCCTACTGCACATACTGGCTTTGTGGGAGCCTAGGCAGTTTGGATGCTCACCTTACTAGACCTGGATGGAGGTGGGTGGTCCTTGGACTTCCCACAGAGCAGGGAACCCTAATTGCTCTTTGGGAAGAAGAGGGAGGGGACTTGATTGGGGGAAGGGGAGGGAAATGGGAGGCGGTGGCGGGGAGAAGCCAGAAATGTTTAATAAATAAAAAAATTCATTTTATATTCCAACCACAGTTCTCCCTCCCACACTGTATTCCACACAGTTATTGGCCATGTACCCTAATGTAGTATATACACTTGCACACAGAGAAATACATATACCCCTTGCTAGTTAATAGTGATAGAGAATTTGAAAGGGTCTATGCTAGTTTCTTTATGCAGGAAGACTTGAATCTTTGTGTTATATCATATTTTGTGAGCACAGTGCTGTACATGAATAGCCATCACCCTAGAGGAGAAGGTATAAAGACATTTGCAGACGAGAACAAAGGGAATTTGAATCAGGACTTTGTAAGGTTATGTAGGAAGAGGGCAGATCCAGCCTCCATGACAGGTAACATTCAGTTCTGTATCATTAGCTCATCCAGTTCTTTGGATGTTTCAGAGTTTCAATGGAGTTGACATCTTGTAGGTATGGAGACTAGGGGCACAGAGACATTTCCAAAGAACTATGGGTAAAGGATGAAAGGGTGGACCCAAGGAGGCAGAAAAAAGAAATAACACATGAAAGATGGAGTTGGACTTGTTGGATAAAGAAGGTGTTTGGTGCAGCTGCGCATGGGATGAGAATGGGAAATGAAATATGAAAGAACAAAAACACATTGAAAAAAATACATATGGAATTTCCAAGGATAAAATATTTAAGCCAAACTAAAACTGATAGCATGCTTCCTTCGCTCAAGTATATAACCTTGCTTGCACTAAGTCAGGCAGCTAAACACAACAACAGAACACTGATATGAATGTCCCAGGAAGAGCTAAGAAAGGGAAAGTGTGTGGTGAGCTTGTGTGTAAACAGTCATCAGGGGGAGGAGTGGCTGCTGTTTGCACTAGTTAGCTGGTGCAACTTGACATAGCCTCGAGTCATCTGAGAGGAAATACCTGAGTAAGGAATTGTCTAGATTAGATTGGCTTGTAGGTATGTTTGTGTGGTAGTTTTTAAAACAATTAGCTGATGTGTGAGAGCCCAGCCTAATGCCCTAAGTGGTGTGGGAAGTCCTTCTGTATATGTGTTGCTTTTATTGGTTAATGAATAAAGAATCTGCCTTGGCCTGTGATAGAGTAGAGCAGAGCGGGGAGAACTAAACTGAATGCTGGGAGAAAGAAGGCAGAGTAAGAAGAAGCCACGTAGCCCCACCAGAGACAGACGCCGGATGGAACCTTGCCAGTAAGCCACAGCCACGTGGCGATATACAGATTAATAGAAATGGGTTAAATTAAAATGTAAGTGCTAGCTGATAAGAAGCTAGAGCTAATAGGCCAAGCACTGATTTAAATACTATAGTTTCTGAGTGATTATTTTGGGTCTGGGCAGTTGGGAACAAACACCTCAATCCATTTATTAGGAGGTGGCAGAATGTCCATGAATGTTAGAGGGACAATGGTAGAAAAGGAAATAAGGGAGGGCTCCCTGGCAGGGTGGCTTCATATTCTCTAAAGGTATTGGGAGAGAGAAGGTAGGAAGGCATATGTGGGTATTTAAACAGGATAGAGGGGCAAAGAGAGGACCCAGGAGCTCTATAAAATATACTGACTCAAGTCAGTGTCCATTTAAGGGGCTTCTAGCATTAGACTTCTCTTATCCAGAATGTGTACACCTGTTAATTTCTTTTTCTTTGAGGCTTGATCTTCTGTCTTTCTCTGTCATTCAACATTTTTTTTTTAGAGACATGACCTCACTGTGTTGTATTGGCTGTTCTTGTACTATTTAAGTAGACTAGACTTAGCATGTGCCTCTGCTTCCTAAGTGCTAGGATTAAAGGTGTAGGCATTACTGTTCCTGCCTGTCATGCATTTTTTTGTTTGTGTCCTTGAATGAGTTTAGCAGTCTCCTATATGACTGCCAATACCTCTGTTAACACTAGCTGAGGAAGACCCCAGTGTTAGGGAGGCAGCAAACAGTATCCATACATGGTTTCAGCTTCAGGTTCATGCTTGTGTTTCTGAGCAGTCTCCCTCAATGACAGAGTGTGACCTAGAAGTCTAAGATAAATCAAGCACTTTCTTACAGCATCAAAAAGAAACAGCAATATACATAATTAGACGTCTGCCCAAATAAATTATTTTCTGAGGGCCATTAATTTTACTTCTACGGTCAAAAGCACCTGCATGAGCCTAGGTTGTGTAACTAATGGAGTATTTGACATCATTCAGCTTAGACGTCTGGTATCATCTCAACAGAGCTCCTAGTTGGCTAATATCCAAGCACAATCTTGACCTCAGTTTCTGATTGCAGGAGATTTCATGTGTCCTCTTACATATATTATTTATTGGTTCTCTTTTGCATTGCTTCCACATGGTTCTTCACCACATCCCATATTTCCTTTTCTTAAAACACCCCTCAGATCACTTCCCTTTTCCCCCATCCTGCCAACATCACCTTTCTCCAACTATCATGGTCACTACTTATCTCTCCACTTTCTTCTTGCCTCTCATGTCCATTTATCACACAACAAGTTCAGGCAAAACTTATTTTTTTCTGGATTATAATACAATTGCAACATTCTTTATTACCTTTCTTCCCTCCAAACCCTCCTACATCTGCCCTTTTTCAAATTCATGTCCTCTATCTTCACCAATTTTTATTTTGTTTATATATATGCCTAAACATAAGCACTAACTCTGTATAATGTTACTTGTATGTATGCTTTCACTGATGATCTCTGACTCTGGACAATCAGCTGATGTGCTCTTTCCTCTGAAATACCACCTGTCTTGCTCTCTGTTTCATGTAGTTGTCCATAGTTCATTGTCTGCACATAAAACTTTTTATTAATTTATTATTGTGCAAAGTGCTGTTTTTCTTTAAGCATATCCTGAAATTTGACTTGTATTTAACCCATGCTCTTATGTTCTTGTCATGTGTGATAAGGCTGGTGGGAAAAGAAAGTAAGCTGAAAGATGGTAAGAAGGGGAATATACTGCCCCTTGTGGACATGATATACCCATTCCATTACTAACTCAGTGAAACTGCACTTGCCACTGAGGCTGCCTCATATTGAGCTCGTCAACTAAAGAGAAAGACTAAAGAGTTGCTGACACTCCTCATGAACTAATCACACTGACAGCTTCTGGAAATTGAGGCATCATTGGCATGGCTGTGTAACTATTCGCGAGCCTACTTTACTTCCATGGAGAGTTGTGCATTCATGATCATACAGATGGCTCTGGTTAAACACATTGGATCAAAACTAAAGAATGTCAAACACAATAGAAAAGGAACAAATGGAGGAAATAAGTGGCTAAATTTTGTAATCTAATTTGTCCTTGCTTCATCCAACCAAACACTTCCTTAACTGTCCATACAGTTCTGTGTAGTTGGCAGAAGTGGTCTTTCTATAACTTATGTAGAGACGTATTTCATTCTAAGACCAAATGTAGTGGTTATTAGAGAAAAAACAACCACAAATAAGTTAATATTGTTGAAATAATCTTTTAAATTCTTTTTTCTCCACAGAATCTTCTACATCAGATTGCAGATTAGAGAATTACTTCCGGCTCATCCTGGCTATCGTCATCCTGTTAGGTCTCGGGGTTCTACTGCTGTATGCTTACAACAGCAGAGAGAGCCCATGATGCCTTCAGAGAGTCCTAACCTGAGAGCCTAGCTACCTTTTCCTACACTTCATCAATGTTGGGGGGAGGGAGCTGCTTGTTGGTTTCCAGCTGCTTAGTCCCGAAATAACCACACAGAAACTGTATTAATTAAACCACTGCATGGCCCATTAGCTCTAGCTTCTTATTGTCTAACTCATATATTAATTTAACCCATTTCTATTAATCTCTGTATGGCCACGTGGCTGTAGCTTACCAGCTAAAGTTCGGGCATCTGTCTCCTGCGGGGGTACATGGCATCTTTCAGACTCAACCCTTCTTTCTCCCAGCATTCCATTTGGTTTTTCCCACTTACTTCTGTTCCCCTATAGCTTTGCTATATGCATAGAGCAGTTCCTTTATTAACCAGTGACATTCACAGCATACAGAGGGGAATCCCACATCACATCACAATGCTGACGATAAAGACTCTAAAAGGAGTTGTAATTTCTCTGCTGAATATTCAGTGCCTGGAGATGTGGTACAATACCTGTGATATGACTGGAATTTCATAATTCTTTGTGTGGTGTTTGTAGGAGAAATCTCCCAAGCAGCAGATTCCCATTTCTTGCTTTGGTCTCCTGTGGGACATCTTTGTGTGCCCATCCCTCATTTCTCATTTCTCTGCATATAATTATCTTCCTCTTCATTCTCCGTTATCCTGTGGATATGCTACTTTGGAATGTGAATGAATTGCATTGCTGACATGAGCATATCCATGCCATAAACGACAAAATAAAACTATCTATTTAAATTTACATACAAATCCAAGTTCCCACTCCCTCTGTCCTCCCATTCCCTCCACATAACCTCCCACCACACCCTCATCCAATCCTTGGAGAGGATAAGGCACATTGCTCTGGGGAAGGTTCAAGGCCTTACCTACAATATCTAGGCTGAGCAAGGTATCCACTCAAAGAGAACAGGTTCCCTAAAAGCCAGTACATGCAGTAAAGATAAATCCTGGTACCACTGCCATTGCCCCCCAGTCTTCCCCAACCATGTAACTATCAACCACAATCAGAGGGGCTGGTTTGGTCCTATGCTTGTTACTTCTCAGTCTAGCTAGAGTTTGTGAGCTCCCATTAGTCAGGTAGACTGTATCAGTGGGTGAACCCATCATGGTCTTGACCTCTTTGCTCATATTCTCTTTCCTCCCACTTTTAGCTGGATTTTGGCAGCTCAGTTCAGTGCTCTGATTTGGGTCTCTGCCTCTGTTCCCATCAGTTGTTGGATGAAGGTTCAATAGTGATATTTAAGATAATCATCAGTCTGACTACAGGGCAAGGCCAGCCAGTTCAGGCACCCTCTCCTCTATAGCTTAGGGTCTTAGGCGGGGTCATCCTGTGGATTCCTGGGAATTTCACCAGAGCCAAGTTTCTTGCTAACCATATAATAGCTCCCTCAATCAAGATATCGCTTTCCTTGCTCTCATCGCTCTCATTTCTGTCCTTCCTCTTTCTCAACTATCCTATTCCCTTAAGTACTCCTCACCCCTCCCCTTCTCCTGTCCTATTCCCCTTTCACCTTCTATTCTTTCCTGACCCCAATGCTCCCAATTTTGTCAGGCAATCTTGTATGTTTAGACTTTCCAGGTGGATCTATATATGCTTTTCTTAGGGTTCACCTTATTACTTTGCTTCTCTAGGATCAAGAACTATAGGCTCAGTATTCCTTGTTTATAGCTAGTGTCCACTTATGAGTTAGCACATACCATATTCATCTTTTGGGTCTGGGTTACTTCACTCAGGACAGTGTTTTCTAATTCCATTCATTTGCATACAAGATTCAAGATGTCATTGTTCTTTTACAGCTGGCTAGTACTCTAATGTGTAAATGCACCACACTTTTTTTTTTGTTTCTCTGTGGCTTTGGAGCCTGCCCTGGAATTAGCTCTGTAGACCAGGCTGATCTTGAACTCACAGAGATCCGCCTGCCTCTGCCACTCGAGTACTGGGATTAAAGGCATGCGCAACCATCGCCCGGCTCGCCACACTTTCTTTATCCATTCTTCAGTTGAGGGGCATTTAGGTTGTTTCCAGGTTCTGGCTATTTACAAATAATGTTGCTATGAACATAGTTGAACAAATGGTTTTGTAGAATGATTGGGCATCTCTTGGGTATATTCCCAAGAGTGGTATTGCTGGATCTTGAGGTAGGTTGACTCCCAATTTTCTGAGAAATCACCATACTCATTTCCAAAGTGGTTGTACAAGTTTGCATTCTCACCAGCAATAAATGAGTGTTCCCCTTACTTCACATCCTCTCCAGCATAGGTTATTATTATTATTATTTGGTTTTTCGAGACAGGGTTTCTCTGTAGCTTCTATGTCTGTCCCGGAACTAGCTCTTGTAGACCAGGCTGGCCTTGAACTCCCCGAGATCCACCTGACTCTGCCTCCCGAGTGCTGGGATTAAAGGCGTGCACCACCACCACTTGGCTATCATTGGTGTTTTTGATCTTAGACATTCTGACAGGTGTAAATAGTATCTCAGAATTGTTTTGATTTGCATTTCCCTTATGACTAAGGATGTTGAATATTTCCCTTAGTATTTTTTGGCAATTTGTGATTCTTCTGTTGAGAATTCTCTGTTTAGTTCTGTACTTCATTTTTTAATTGGGTTATTTAGATTTTTGGTATCTTATTTCTTGAGTTCTTTATTATTATTATTATTATTTAAAAAAACAAATCAAACTTCCCACTCCTTTCCACCCCAGCCCCCTCTAATTCTAAGAGAGGGTAAGGCACGTTGCTTAGTGGACAGTCCAAGGCCCCCCCTTACTACATCTATGCTGAGCAAGGTATACATTAAAAGAGAATAGGATCCAAAGAAGCCAGTACATGTATTAGAGATAGAGCCCAGTACTGCCAGTGGCCCCTCAGTCTACCCCAGCTACACAACTGTCAGCCACATTCAGAGGGACTAGTTTTGTCTTATGCTTATTCCTTCCTAGTCCAGCTGGAGTTGGTGAGCTCCTATTAGCTCAGGTAAACTGTTTCAGTGGATGAACCCTTCATAGTCTTGACCTCTTTGCTCATATTCTCATTCCTTCTACTCTTCAACTGGACCTTGGGCGCTCAGTCCAGTGCTATGATGTGGGGCTCTGCCTCTGTTCCCATCTGTTGTTGTATGAAGGTTCAATAGTAATATTTAAGATAATCATCAGTCTGACTACAGGGCAAGGCCAGTTCAGGCACTCTATCTTCTATTGCTTAGGGTCTTATCTGGGGTCATCCTTGTGGATTCCTGAGTATTTTTTTAGAGCCAGACTTCTTGCTAACCCCATAATATCTCCCTCAATCATGATATCTCTTTCCTTGCTCTCATATCTGTCCTTCCTCCATATTAACTATCCCATTCCCTCATGTTCTCCTCAACCCTCACCTTCTCCCATTCTTTCTACCCCCACCCCATTCTCCCAATTTTTTATGTGATCTTGTCTGTTTCCAGTTTCAAGGTGGGTCTAGATATATTTTTTCTTTTGATTCACCTTATTACTTAGCTTTTCTAGGATCATAAACTATAGGCTCAATATCCTTTGTTTATGGCTAGTATCCACTTATGAGTGAGTACATACCATATTCATTTTTTGGGGGTCTGAGTTATCTCACTCAGGATAGTGTTTTATATTTTCATCCATTTGCACACAAAATTCAAGATGTCCATTCTCTCATTGAGGGGCATCTAGGTTGTTTCCAGGTTGTGGCTATTTACAAATAATGCTGCTATAAACATAGCTGAACAAATGCTTTTGTAGTATGATTGGGCACCTCAATCCCAAAGGTGATATTGCTGGATCTTGAGGTAGGTTGACTCCAAATTATCTGAGAAACTGCCACATTGATTTTCAAAGTGGTTTCACAAGTTTGCATTCCCACCAGCAATGGTTGAGTCTTCCCCTTACTCCACATCATCTCCAGCATGGGTTATCATTGGCAGTTTTTCAGTAAACTGGGAGTCAACCTACCTCAGGATCCAGCAATTCCACACTTGGGAATATACCCAAAAGATGCCCAATCATACTACAAAACCATTTGTACAACTATGCTCATAGCAACACTATTTGTAATAGCAAGAACCTGGAAACAATCTAGGTGCCCCTCAGTGGAAGAATGGATAAAGAAAGTGTGGCACATATACACATTAGAGTTCTATTCAGCGGTAAAAACAATGACATCTTGAATTTTGCATGCAAATGGATGGAAATAGAAATCACTATACTGAGTGAGATAACCCAGACCAAAAAGATGAATATGGTATGTACTCACTCTTTAGTGGATTCTAGCCATAAACAAAGGACATGGAGTCTATATTGAGTCTATATCCTGTGATCTTAGAGAAGTTAAATAAGAAGGTGAACCCAAAGGAAAACATATATTTATCCTCCTGGATATTGGAAGTAGACAAGATCACCGGGCAGAAGTTGGGAGCAGGTGGGTGGGGGTTGTGTAGAGGTAAGGGGAGATGGGGAGAGAGAAGTGAGAAGGGAAGGATTGAGGAGAGCTTGGGGGAATAGGATGGTTGAGATGGAGGAAGGGTAGATATGGGAGCAGGGAAGAAGATATCTTAACTAAGGGAGCCATTTTAGGGTTGGCAAGAGACTTGGCTCTAGAGGGGTTCCCAGGTGTCCAAGAGGATGTCCTTGTGTAGTAGAGGAGAGGGTGTCTGAACTGGCCTTGTCCCATAGCCACAGTAATGAATATCTTGAATATCACCATAGAATCTTCATCCAGTGATGGATGGAGATAGAGACAGAGACCCACATTGAAGCACTGGATTGAGATTCCAAGGTCCACCTAAAGAGCAGAAGGAGGGAGAAGATGAGCAAGGAAGTCAGGGCCGCGTGGGGTTCATTCACCCACTGAGACGGTGTGACTGATCTAATGGGAGCTCACCAAAGCCAGCTGGACTGGGACTGAATGAGCATGTGATCTAACTGGACTCTGAATGTGGCTGACAATGGGGACTGTCTGAGAAGGCAATGATAATGGCACTGCGATTTGATTTTCCTGCATGTACTGGCTTTTTGGGATCCTATTCTGTTTGGATGCACACCTTCTAGGCCTGGATGGAGGTGGGAGGGCCTTGTACTTCCCACAGGGCAGGGTACCCCATCTTCTCTTAGGACGTGAGGGGGAGAGGGGAGGGTGAGTGGGGGAAGTGGGAGAAAAATGGGAGGAGGGGAGGAGGTGGAAATTTTGAAAAAATTAAAAATAAAAGTAAAATAAAAATATAGAGAAAAGAATTACAGCTACAATATTTATATCTACTTTATCTTTTATCATAACTAAGAAAAACTATAGCTATAACTATAAATTCTTCAACTCCAACAAAGACTCCAGAAGGATATGATATTACCTAAGTAAACAGGAAATACATTGTAAACAACTTTCAAATCTCTAGAATTCACAGAGACATCTCACTGCCTGAACAGTCACCCAAAGTTTTTCTGTACCATTGGGGCATCCATTTTCAGCCTACTGGTCCATAGTATCCAGCAGACTTTTCCTTGAAGCAGGAAATTTCAAAGACAGTTCTGCCTATATTGGCAGTTTGTCAGTCATTTTCTTCTGTGTCCTGCAGAATGTGTGGCAGTCTTTTTCATGAAGCAGGAACCCTGAAGGACCAGCTCACCTTTAAGCAAGTTCAGCAGTCATTTTTCTGTGGGTACTGCATGTCCATTTAAGCAGCCCAGGAAAGAGCAGTTTCTTTCCCAAATGGAT